GTTCTTTCCTCCACTATCTCACCTTACTTCACACCCACCGCCATGATCTAGTGCGTGATTATTGTGCTCGATTGTGGAGACCTAATCCAGGTTACAGTGGCTGCATTTCGATGAAAGTAAAATGCCAAAGCCCCCCCCCCCCCCTCCCCTCCTTGCTTCAATTTATAGGTGCTCGTTCAGGAGGTCGAAATTTCCAGCCTTCTACAACGCCGTCCATCACAATCATATCACGATCTTGACGCATAATCCTCGCATACTTGAACGCATCAAGTCTGTCAGAAGTCCTTCAATGTGAAGGAAAGAAGTGGAAATTCAAGAGTTGGTTCCTTTTTTTTTTGTTAAACAAAATATTAATGAGAGTAACAGGCAATAATGCTGGATAAATAGGAGATGTCACTAGAAGAAAATGTAAAGCAAATGTGAAGAAATAAAAGTGGATGTGTTTCAATTGATTTTCTGCAGCATGATCATTCTCCTATTAAAAAAGCTGCCACCTAGCTTACTCTTGCTTGTTGTGCTTCTTTTTTTTTTTTTTTGCTAATTTGATAGGGAAATGTGTTTCGCTAGGATGCAGTGGTCATTGAGCAGTCGCTGTTAAACTGGAGGGTCGTATAAACGATGATTTGTTTATACGACCTATAATTTGTTTATTAATGAATGAAAAAACAAACCTCGACAGTTTGATTTTTGAATTCCCACCAAATCATTGCTGCATTTGGATGACACGGATTTCAAAGTATACGTGCGTGCGTGTGTATTAGCCACCCTGCAGGTGAACAAATTACCTGAAGTTTGGTATGTTGAGCCTCTGGCTCCCTCAGAAGACAATGTGCTTCATTTTCACCTATTAGGATCCATGAGACTATAGGCCATGTAGAAGACGCCCTCACAATCTATGATGTCACGGCGACTGGTGCAGGAACATTGTGGTGGCGCATTTCATTTCTGCCCAAATTCTAATTTACCAAGCGTCCTTTCGCAGCATAAGTGTTCATGTCGTCAAAGAGTAAGTTACATATACTAATATGAAAAAAAACTTACTTTTTCGTTATCTTTTAGGACCAGAGAGCTGGGAGTAGATTTTCTGTACGTGCGCGAGATCGCTAATTGAGTGTGCTGACTTTCGTTTGTACTGCACACGGTAAAAAGAACAAAAAAGTCACAGTTTCGTTAAAAGGGCGAAGCAATGAATGCAACAGCTACATATTTGAATGTTTTACGAAGGAAAGCTATAGTATTTTTAGGAGTTGTAACAATTGCAGTAAACATGCGCTTAGTAAGTAACCAAGTTTCCTGCAGTGCGGCCACAGTAGATGACCACAATAAGGCTCGTGCGTTGTGGCGGCGTTGATGAGAAGCGCCTCCCGTGGGCATGCAGCATATGCTGGTACTAAGGACTATACGTCGTGGGTCGCCGCTGGTGGCAGTTTGTTATCTGTAGAGCGCATCTATAGGTGTGGGCGGCCACTCCAAGTATACGCTTTTGGCACTATTTTTTTCGTGTTGATAGCGCAGCCTGTAGAAGCTCCCGCCTGTGGTGGGGCAAATAACCACGCCCTGACCGTTGCCGCACCGTAAGCGCCCCCCCCCCCCTTCCTCGAGTTGGAGCAGCCAACGGCTGAATTAACAACCGACCATGGTTTATCAGGACGAAGATAAACGAGCAACCGCGCGCGAATCCCGAATCATCTCAGGCTTGCGGCGGAGTGGTACCCGTCGTCTACTCTTCTCGAACCGGAAGCCGGCCGCAGACGGTGCATCCCACAATCCTTCGCTCTTTTACTGGTCACTTATTGCTATCACAATAAAAGAAAGTGCGGGTGTCATCTGATGTTGAGGTGTCTCTCTAAATTTCGTCAACAAGTGCACAATTAACCCGAAATTGCTTGTTGAACAAGCACAACACGAGGAGAGATATGCGACGAGGCATCCACCCTCTTTCTCATGCACGAGTCGCATGGAAGTGAGATGACACACGGCAGCTGCAGTTTTACTCCCTACACAATAAGCACCCGAAAAAAAAAAATGTGATCGAAGCTGCGTAAATCTCTTCCCGCGACACCCGACGTCGTCCTGCCGCAACGCGAGACGAGGAGAGAGAGCGGCGCGACACATCACCCGTAAATAAGGAGCCCATCTCCGAGAGTATCGAAGCTTATCGTAATTGCGTGCAGCAGGCTTACAGGAGGAGCAGCATGCCAGGGACGAAGATGCCCTAACGAGCGGCAACTTTAACGTTTTTTATGAAATCGCAAATTAACAGCGAAATTCTCTTTTTACTTCTTCACGTCACCTAAAATCTAATGGTGTCCTAATACTTTATTGTTGCTATTCCATGAGCGATAGTCATGCTATATGTGACTATTATGTATCGATTTTATTTTAACGGAATAGCGGAGCTGGTTCACAGAAATTCCGGCGTCATTGGTTATGAGCAAAATATCATCATCTTACGCTTGACCAAAAAATCGAGAACTATGCAAAATGATAAAAAAAATTGGAGCAGAGTAGGGACCAAACTAGGGTTGTTTGGGTCGAAGTGGGGATAGAAACCAGTTTGTTTGCGTGTCAAGCGGATGTTCACCTGAAATATTGCCGTAATAATGCTTGGTGCAAGCGTCCATTGTCAACGGGTGTCAGACTATGTGACTATCATAATGCCTCCGTGGTTGAAAGCCAGTATATACAGAAGGCACACACGCTACTGCGCATATTATACCTTAAGGCCACGTAGTGGACAGGCAGTGGGCATGCATAGCAAATTCAAAAAGGTTTCATGCACTAAGTGTCTGAAGTACGAAAAAGATGTCGTTATCGCGTTCAACGACTAAAGGCGAAGCTTCAGGGTCCCCTGATTTTTTTTTTTTTTTGCACTGATGTATAAGCGCATATTTATTTTGTATACATACACGAAAAAAAAAAAAGTCTGCATCTTTGTTGTTTTAGATATCCCAATTCTTGTGGTCTGCTGTCTATCGGCTCTGCCCTTCAATACCAATTAGGCTTTGCCTGGCCAATTACGTATTGCATTGCTGCTATTTCACAATGTCAAAAATTATTCTTCTTATTATTATTATTAAAATATGACCGTCGGCATCCACATGAGTGATGAAAAAAATCCCCCTAACGCGATGCGGCAATCTGTGCGTCATCATATGACGTCACAGATTGCCGACATTTGTGATGTCATCATGACATCGCCTACTTTGATGTTACCACACGACATCGTCGCTTGGTCAAAAGTGGGCGGACCATGCATGGGTGCAGTGCGAAACGACTTTACGACTGCAGTGCTTATACATACACACTCCATACACACTGTGTATGTGCGTACAAGCGAAAACAATCATTTTTTAATCTCTATGTTTAAGACTGCCTTCCAAGAGGAGCTTAATTTTTTTCATGGGTTATTTAACCGTGGTAAAAAAAAAGGCTTATTTTTACACCATCTGTTACACTGAGCCATAAGAGGGGGTCACTGCGCGGGCCAAATATACTCTATACAAAGACACTGCGCAAGGTTGGTATTATCATATTGACCCCTATACATTTAAATTATATTGCCTTGTTTTTAGTTTATTTTACTTTACTGTCACTGTCTCATGTGAAAGTGCAAGAATTCTTTATTACATATTTTGTATTCTGATTATACGTGTTCATACTGCATGCTATCGCTGGCTGCAGGATTCAGCCTCATTTGCTTTTATACCAAGCGACTTTCACCCGCACTCAACCCACGCGTTAGATGTCGATGAAGATGCTATTTATTGGTGATAATGGCTCGGTGCATCACCATGTCATTTATCGCAGGTGCCTTAATCTGTTTGGTCGGTGGCAGATATACTATAATGCAATATATTTACAGCTGACGACACATATGCATTCGAGATGGAGAAATTATAAAACGAAAAAATTTAAAATGTCAGATTTTTATAGGTAAGCCGTGACTCGTCCACGACTTAGCCAACATTTCCCGATGCAGGTTGTTAGGCAATCTTAACCAACATTGAGCCATTCGGATCATTGTACTATTGTGAAGTGTCTGGGTGACATTGATTTGTTTTATGAGAACGTTTCATTGATGTATTGTGAAGCGTATTTCATGTTCCACACTTCTGCACATATTTCTCGGTCCCATAAACACACAAATCGGGTGCATTCCACGTAAATATATACTTTCATGCAGCATTGCCGAGCACTACGCACCTTCTGTAGCGCTGCACTGTTCTAGAGAGGCGCGTTATACTACGCAGCAAGGCGTCGTTTAGTGTGCACATGCGTTCTTAATTCGCCAGTTGCTCTTGTTCCCGAGTTCCCCATTTCTACCCTGATGCGGGAGAGGAGGCGCCACGACGGGACGTTCTTCTTTTACCAGCACAGTTCTGCTCTCAAAAAAAAAAAAATGGGAAAGAAAAGCAGGAATGACCAGAATCAGAAGACCACCGGCAAACCGAGGCCAGCCGCTTTATAATGGCGCGCGACGACTACATCAACACGATGCTCCGAGTCCTTACTCGCCCCATCCGCTGTGCGTGCGCGCCCTCAAACTATTCAAGTTCTTCTTCTTCTTTCTTTTTTTTAGCGTCCGGACGAAAACGTGCGCTCGCGTCTTCAAGATGGCGGTTCACTCCGGCGGAACGGTGGTCTGGCCGCCTCGTAATTGGCCGAAGGGCGCCAGCGTCGGCCAATTACGGAGCCCGCGCGGCAGCCTCCATTGGCTGCGGCCTAGACGCGGCCGACGGCGTTGCGTTACGAACGGCCCAATGGCGTCGCGTCGTGTGGCTGATTGGCCGTGTCAGGGCGTTTTCTCCTCTTCTTCCTCGCTTCGGCGCTCCCGTCGCTCTTCTCCCTTTCTCGTGCCGGGAAGGAGGAGGCCTCCGGAGCAGATGGCGGAGGAGGGTGGGCGCTTCCTCCGCGCGGAGGTGGGCGTTTTTTCTCGCCGCGAGTGCATGTTGCTCCCGGGATAACGGCGTCTTGGCGCGGCGGGGCGCAGTCGCGCCATGCAGCGGGGCCCGGCGGCTCAACACCAGCGATCGCCGTTCGCCATCCAGGAACTGTTGGGATTGAGCGATGCCGGACTGCCCGCTTCTTCTTCCTCGACTCAGCACGGCAACAGCCAGTCCTCGGTTACGACGGGATTGCACCCGTCCTCGGTGCTGGGACACCACTCGCTCGTGCCGCAGGCCATCCACCCGCCTCCACCGCACTGTGGCTTCCCCGGTGACAGGGCCGGTGTGTACCTCGGACACGCTTTCGTGCCGTGCGCGCCCTTTCTGCATGGCTTCGACGGGTCGGCCCACGGCGTGCCACCGGACATCGCCGGTGAGTGATATTCACACACCTTTCTTGTAGGCACCACTTAGTACTACATGGGCCCCGCGTAAATGGAGCGCATGTGGTGAAAATGAAAATCCACAGACCAAGTTAAATCGAGGTAATCGGAAGTGGTCGACTTGGTTGGCGTTTAGGTGCGCGGGTTATAGGTAATGGAGTGACGATACAATTTACATGCGGACACTTTATCTACTAAATTTATAGGCTGATTGCCAACGTGTTGTTGATGACAGTCAGTGGCGTCTGAGCCATATGCTGTGAGTGTATTTACACATTGCACGGCAGTCGAAAACAAGGTTAAATGAGTTTTACAGCACATGCTTGTTCCTGAATCTTGCGGGACCAATTATATATCGCATGCACGAACGCTTGTATGCCGTGACGTAAGCAGTTCAACTGGGTGTAGCTTATTCGTTAAAGTAACGGCACGCGTGAATTAATTTTACGAGGAGCCGAAACGAGAAATGCCTCTGAGTGCTTCACAGCGTGGCCGCCATTTTGCGTACAACGTATATTGGTTGATACAAACACACCATCTCACAACCCGTAGGTCGAGCGGATGCGATGAGCTCCAGTAGATAGTCCGGTTTATACACAGTGGTCACAGTAACATAACCAGGGGGTGACACACAGCCTCTCCCCCGCCCCGAAATTATTACTTTTCCCGCCATGGCATACATATAAGACATCACTATTTCAATGAGGTTCCCTCCCATCCCCGAAATCAAGAAAGTGCCCCCCCTCCTCCCTTCATGAAAAATTATGCCTACGCCTAAACAATGGTGGTGCCTATACGTAAATTTCAGTGCATGAGACAGCATCTCAGACTATCGAAATTAAGTACAGAACGACAATCTTATTCGTGTGTAGGCCTACGTATTTAAAACCTGTATAATGTAGTGTTTACTGGTTGATGATCAAAAAAAAAAAGAAAAAAAATGGCGGGAATAAAATCATCAGTGCGCTTAAGTTGCGACTCCCGTACAGGTATACCACCAGCGAGGCGCAGAGTACAAATACTGTTGCACACATACACTATAGCGTTGTTGTGCGTTTTAACCGTGAGAAAATAAAAACAAAAAACCCAGAAGAAATACAGCAAGCATTATTATTTGCTCCTATAGAAGAGAATATTACGCATAGACACACACACACAGATATATATAGCAGAATGCTATGCTGCATGTACACTCATCCAATTGCTTATAGTAAACATTGCTCCTGCACATCATATAGCACCCAACAGAAGCAGATAATTAAAGAGATATGGTGCGCAAGTGAGCAAACTCGCACATGAGCGTCGTCTGCTTGCTTAACCCTTTCAGATGCCACCTAGGAAGAAAAGTTGGTAAATGTGTCAAATCAATACAACGGCATTTAAAGGCGTTTGTATAACAATTGAATAACGTTACATGTTAATTTATATCTGTGGTAACCTATCTGAATTATAAGTTGTGACTGAACATCTACTTATCCCTGAGTCATTGATGCTCTGTTGCGGCATAAATCTCAGGCAATAAACATATAAGGGCTAGTTCATTTCGGTTATGTACATTTTTTGCGAAGATAAGTATACTTTTCACTTGGCTCGCTGCAAGCAGCACTTCTAACAATTCATCGAGCGTGGTATAGTGCCTTCAGAAAATTGATCATATGGAACAACATGCTGCGAAATGAAGCTAAATGAAGACTAACTTATTTTTCATGAGGTTTGATCCGAAGATCCATATATATTGCTCTTTCCTACAAATAGACGAAACAAGTATAGTGTACGCAACGGTGTATACACAGCCTGCCAAAGGGTAAGAAATCCCTACGCGCTGTCAGCCTTACCGCGGTGTGATCATGTGTTCAGAAAGCCTATGTGACGCTGAAGTCGTTGCTTCTCACCAATATTAAAAACTATACCACATCGAGGGTTTGACGCTCGCGCGATATTGTTAAGAATTGCAAGGCTGCACCATCCAGGGAGCAACACCGCTCTTTAGGGCTGCACCGATGCTTTTACGACACCCCTTCGCGTTGTTCGCTCTTCGTCTGCGGTCATGCAGATCGACGATTCGGCAACGTTGTGAAATCAGTATACATAAACGTTTGCAGTTCTGATTCACTGCAATACGTTTTTGCATTGAGGTGAAGCGCACACTTGCGTATAAGGTACGTCGTTTACACCGTGACCCCCTACTCTCTTAGTCAGACCTTGCTTAAAATGCTAGATATAGCAAAGAAACCAGACATTTGCCTTCTGGTATCCTGGATATAGATATCCATTTAGCCAGGGCGTGGTTAACAAGGTATAGCATAGTTGCCAGACCCGATTATAATAAGCGAATTTGGGCGCGTTCATTTTCTCCCCCGGAGTCACTTGTAAAATTTTCTAGCCACTTGTCGAGTTTTTTTTTTTCGTGCTTATTAGTAATTTTCAGCAAACATCATTTTTAGGGTCGATTGACTCCAGTGATAGCTCGTTTGTCGATGACCATAAGTATAGTTAGGTGTTGAAGTCAGACATATACGTTGGGGTCTTTAACACTTCACTTTTATCATGCATCCGTAACATGCACTCAGCCGAATAGAAAATGGCCAATGTAAGAAAAAAAAGCAAATACGTGTTCTCATTCATAGTTGCACATATTTTTGTTGGATAAAACAGTAAGTGAACTTTTAAACTCTATTCGTACTTGAGTGACAATTTTGATAAATTAAAAATATTTTTGTACACAATTATAATAAAGTTATTTTAAGGAACGACAAAACTTAACAAATTGGTGCTTTTTTATTCTTCATGAAAATCACGATTCCCTTTTGGGCTTTTTTTGTGGTGATTATTGGTTTCTTAGCTCGGCAGCATCTGCCAACTCTGCCCCCTACAACTCTTCATATACTCTGTTATTTTAGCAATTTACCCCATGGCACATTAGATGAACACGCCTACGTAGCAGCTACGTAGACTCTTTACTATCAATTTTTTTTTTCAAAATACTTCATCGAGTTGGCCAATGACGCTGCTGAGTTTATTTTTGTTTATTATTATTATTATTATTATTATTATTATTATTATTATTATTATTATTATTATTATTATTATTATTATTATTATTATTATTATTATTATTATTATTAATAAGAATAGTAAATAATATTTGCAAACATGTGGGAAAGTGTGTGTGTGTGCGTCTCTCTCTTTCTTCTTGTGTTACTGTCGTGGTGCGCGCTATACCCTTATAAATTATGAGCTCCAACCAACTAGCCCGGCAACGTGTCTTGGGAAAGTATATAGCCTACATTAGAGACAGCTGTAGTTAAAAACTTTGAATTGCGCATCTCTTCAAAGTACACGAACGTTTACGTTGAACAAAACAAGCCACACAGCCCCGTCACGGTGTTTTAGCGGCTAAAGTATACTCGTCTGCTGACCGCAGGTCGCGGGATCGAATCCCGGTTTCGGCGGCTGCATTTTAGAGCGAAAGCTGTTTCGAGACCACAACTCGGGTCACGCTCCGTTGTCCACCGCCGCCGGTGTATACACGTAACGACGTCACGCGGAATTAGGGGGAAAAAAAACTAGCACCAATGACACTGTGGGGCTTGAACCTGCGTCCGCTGGGTGCCAGCCCAGTATTCTGCCCCGGTGCTTGGGAATTGTTGACAAACTCTCCTTAGGCAAGCTTGATGTCGGGAAAGCAATCGCGTTATTATGGTTTACAAAGCGTTTTAAAATAGCGAAAGAACAACCAGACGTCGCACAATGCGAAAATCGTAACGAGTGGGTCGTCCAATGCTCCAACCCATTGTGCTTGTTCTTGTTCCCCTATTAACTGTGGCGCCTATACTCACTTCAGCCATATATATAATTCCTCATCGTCGTCAGCTACTGCATGAACCATTGGCACAAAATTTCTTGCAAATGTTTAGCGGATACCACGTTTCTCAGAAAAATGACGAAAAATAACATAGCCAATGCCGGCCTATTACCCAAAAGTTTATTATTAATGCCCTAGTGGGTATCAAGTAAGTGTGCTTGCAGTATAGTTACCTATGGGAAAGGTGTTCTAGAATGCATGCGATAGTAAAGAATCATTTTCTTTAGAATCGGTCTTCATTTTATAAGCAACTTCTGATGAAAAACGTGAACGAATGCTTTTTTCGAAATCGAGGAATATCAAATCAATTTGACTATCGTTATCTATAGAACGCCAGCGAGGTCATGTATTGTCTCAAGCAGTTCTTGATAGACAGTATGATAACACGAATACTTGAATGAACAGTAAGACACGTGATCCAAAAATCTGTTCCTTCGAAATAGTCCTTTCAAAGCGCCAAAGCGCTCTTTTCTGCGGGCTCACTGTTGGCAATGCATGGACACCGTATAATGAATATGATATATTCGAGCAAAGGCGCGCCTTTGCTAGGCGTGCGTTTTGTACTGAGTCGTATTTCACACGTGTCCACCTCTCTTACATGTATATTCTGCTCTCATCTTATCTCTTACCGATTTCATTTCCCGTTCCATCAAATTCTGTCTGGTTCTTAACTTCGTATGTCCCCTTATATATATTATCCAAGTTATTGTTCCACATGTATAAGATGCAACGATTGTAGATATGCTTTTCGCTTGAACATGGTGTGTTGCCGTGGTCGTGATATTTAGCAAGAAAATGTTTTGTGCCGGGGTCGAACACGGCTCTGCTGACATACTTCCGTCACGGATATGACATAAAATCGATACTAACAGACAGCAAAGAAAAAAAACGAAAAGGAAAGATTTTGTCGCGCGGCAATCGCACTATATAGCAACCTCTCAATTCGCAGTGCGCGGCACTAACCATGCGCTATATAGAGCGTATATACGTTGTCTGGCATGCTAACGGCCAGTCATTTATATATACACACCATACACCGCTTGACAGTCCTCAAAGCTCCAAAACTTTAGCGCGTTTTCGTTATCCGTGGCGAGATGGCGGGACGGGCTCGTGTTGTGCGTGCTG